CTGCATTGTCACCGGCCCAAGATGCTAGATTCATTCAGATCAGTGACGTTTACAGTTTTTTTCTTCATTTTATTGCATGCTTTGCAGCGGAAGGACCTGTATTTTCCGCTGGCCATGATTTAAAGGAATTGTCTAGTGAACAGGACACGAAGCACCATATTGAAGTATTTGAGACCTGCGCTGAGGTAAGCCAGGGTGCTGGTTTTGCACTAATGCCAATGAAGAGGTGTTGGCGTTTCAGTGAGGAGCTGAATGGAGCAATGAAAAAAGTTTAAGAAGGGAGAGAATGTGGTGGTCTAGTGGTTAGAGCAGAGCTTAGTCCCTCTAGACTCCTGACTCCAGTTCCTGACTCTGCCACTCTCTGATCTTGGACATGTTATTTCCTCTCGTCATTTCTCCATATGCAAACAGAAGTGCAAGGATTATGCATGATTAAAGGCTTGTATCTGCAATATGCAAATGCCCTAAACTAGGTATAATTGTTGCATGTTCCTTTAAATCTTTTTAATATTTGATCCATGTATCATCACTGCATGAGTCTTGCACTTTACGCAAATATGGATCAATTCCTTATCTGTTTCATAGGCATAATACTCCTAACCTATCTTGCATCAATTAGGATCTGTTGTCCTATTCCAAAACCTAGTTGATCAACTGGAACCAATAGGGACACATGGTTAATTTACTGATATTTGTTAAAAGCTCTGAGAACCTCATGAGAAAGTTGCTATGAAAGTGCCAGGTACGATTAGACATACTGATAACACCCATGGATTTGCCTGTTTTGTCTGAGTAAGATACATGTTTAATTTAAGGCTGATTTTTTTTCTCCTTTCAGTTGAAGACAGGGGTGGCTTGAGGTTGGGTTCATGGGTTCAGTTGCACCCACAGAAATCATGAAACCAAGGGTGCAAAACCAGGAAAACAGGATGGGGAGGCAGCCAGGCCGAATCTGAGTGGCACTGTGACCCTATGTGCAAGATTTCAACACCCAGAGTGGGGAGCCAGCCCCAGCTCCGCAGGACAGGAGCAGCTACTTCAGGGTGAGTGAGGGGATGGTCTCGCTCTCCAGCCCCTGCCTCTAAGGGCCTCCCCTCAGCACCAGGCTGGGATTAAGGATGCAGTGCTAGGAAGGAGGGGGCTGCTGCAGGTGGGCAGTGCCCCCTCAGCTGTTTAGTATAGTGCACCCATTGAATCAGGGCTGGCTACATTTACCCCTGGTTGAAGATAGTCATGTGTTATTCATACAGGCTTGTGCCTAACCCCCATCTGAGCAATGTCCTGCCATGCTGACCATGGGCAACTCAGCAAACAGCCACTGGTTCATGGAAAAGGGAAGATCAAACTGGAAACATAAAACCTGTTCTACTGTCATATCGAGTGGAATCAAGAGTTTGCAATTTTCTCCACTTTAACACCAAAGGAAATTAAACTGTCCTGTGTGTATAATTAATACCATGAACGTGAGCAGGATTTCAGTTATCGGCAGTTCCAGCTGTAATCAGCAGGCAGATTGGAATAGAATGGCTCAGCTATTTCATTCTTTGGGATTCATGATGTAGCAAGGTAGGCTTTGATTTAATAAAGAAAAATATAGGAAGATTAGCAGACTATTTGTAGTGTAAAAAGCTAAGTCAGGGCATAAGTCTTATACAGAATCAGGGCCTTAGTGTATGACGAGTGTAATAATTTAGCCATGAGTGTAAGGAACAAATAAGGCACAATGCTTCAAATAAATATCCTGGGACCGTGAAAATGATAAAGAAGGTTCAAGAGGAAATGAAATGCCAGGGACTAAAATAAATAAGATATGATCTTTTTTTCTAACAGGAATATCTTGCACTTCTGTAGCCCCTTCCATCTGAGGATCTTAAAGAGATTGAAAAGCACTAATCAAACCTCACTTTACCCCTATGTGGCAGAGAAGTCTGATTGGTAAATAGCCACATCTTACATGTGGGGAAACTAAGGAAATTAAGTGACATACCCAATGTGGTCTGGTGAATAGAGCACTGGACTATGGACTCAGGTGATATTAGTTCTAGTCCTGGCTCTACTAGTGGCCTGCTGCATGCCCTTGGGCAGATCACTTCATCTCTGCCTCAGTTTTCCCATCTGTAAAATGGGGATAATAATACTGACTTCCTTTGGAACACACTTTGAAATTTACTGATGAAAAGCACTGTTTAGAAGCTAGGTATTATTATCCCACACAAAACTCTGATACATCTTGGAGTAGAAGCTAGCTCTCCTGACGTGTTTAAACACAAGAAAACAAATACGGTAATTTTTTTTTATAAGGATGTTTTGAAGAAAGTACCTGCAGATGTGATTACTGTACACAAACGGATTCCTTGCCTGGTTCCATGTCTCAAGAAGTGCTGGACACTAGTTTTTAAACAGTAGCACAAGAACTGAGATAAAGGCAGAGCTAATGTAAAACTGAATTTGGAGATTTCAGCCAAGGAGGGTAAAATATGATTAAGCAGAAGTGATTTCCCCCCCCCACACACAAGAAGAGATGAAGAAACCAGCTGAAATTTGTCATCTGGTCACAATGTGCTGATGTGAGTTGGTAATCATAACAACACTTAGCAGGTAAATAGCACTTTTTATCTGCAGAACTCAAACATGGGTAAGTATCATTATACAGATGGATCAGTACCACAGAAGTGTCCTGACCCCCAGCTCTGTGTAATACACTTTGGGGGTAGGGACTGTCTTTTATTGTATGTTCGTTCAGCACCCAGCACAATGGGACACAGTGCTACCATATTACAGATAATAATCAGTGAAGATAATTATTGTATCTGTAATAACATCTTCAAGTCACGGATTATGGGAACATGTTGCACCTATGCATCCGTGACCTGCTGACCACTTCCTTTTGCACATACAGGTCATGACTCTGCTCCAAAAACTCCCCGTACCAGTGATTGCCAAGGTAAATGGCTTGGCTACGGCAGCAGGCTGCCAGCTGGTGGCGAGCTGTGACATTGCAGTAGCGAGTGAGAAATCCAGGTTTGCTACACCCGGAGTCAAGGTCGGGCTGTTCTGCTCCACACCAGCGGTGGCTGTAGGGAGAGCCCTTTCTAGAAAGGTAGGCTGTGTTCAAGAGAGAACTGTTCTCTCCGGTGTCTGAAAGTAGACCCTGTATTTACGTGCTCTAGCTCCCATCCGTGCACCTTCCTCACTCAGCACTTTGTAGTGCAAAACATTCCACTGCCAAAAGCAACTTTAGAAAAAAACATTGGTCTGAGGGGGGTTGGGAAGTCCAAGAATAGTGTAGATGTGGCCTGTATTCCAAGACAGCAGCTCTGCTACCTCCCTGATCCCAAGCAGCGGGTCCCCACAGCAGCAGCAGATCAGCACAGTAGTCCTTCTCCCTCCTGCCAGTAAATTCTTTCCTTTAGACAATGATGCTTTCCCCCTGCTGAGAGACCCCTCCAAGTGCAGGATACCAGTCCCATTAGGTATCCATTCCTGCCAAGCACTGACATTTCAATGCCAGCATGATCTGCTTAGATCTGTTTTAAATAGCATCTATGACCCTCCTTTATCTCCTCCCCTTTTCTTTCCTGCTGACTGTGAGTATGGCCTCACTCACTACGTAAGGAATACGATGCACTTCACAAAGCCTTGTTTGAGCTGTGCAACCTCAGGTGCCAGTCCTCATACTGTATCCATCTGGGCAGAAGCTCGTCAATGGGGATCTGCTCAAGTGCAAGGGTCCTCCTGTGCAGGTCAGATTGCAGGAAAGGGACCTAAACCCTTAACTTCCCGGCTCTGATGCCATCATCTTGAAATCTAGTCCATTTTCTATTGAGTGAGTTAGAATGGTTTGATACTACAACCGCTCCTGGATCATCCTTCCAATATTTCTGATTGCACAATTCCATGTTTAAAATATGTGTCAGTGTATTGTTTTTAAAGTGCAAGTGCTCCCATATCAGATTAAAAAGCACCATTGTTGCAACTGTTAGAACTTCTGTTTTTACATCTTATCAAATGAAATGTATCCGAGATGCTTCTATTTGTAGCTACTAAAGCAAAGACGATAACAAGGGCAGTTAGACCTCATGATTCAGGATATCAGCTGATTGCCCCTACGGTCAGCAAGGCATTTTTCTCCCCATATTTAGCACTGTACAATTAGCCAAGTACATTATGGATTTTTTCCCTCTCATTTAAAGCATCAGACACAGGTCACTGCAGGAAGCAGGATACAGAAATAGATGTAGCCGTGATCTAACATGAGTGACAGGGAGTCTAATTAAAAACACACACAAAACTAAAACTAAGGCCAACATTTTCAAAAACTACCCACCGATTTGGCATGCCTTCATTTTTATTCTATTTTGCTTTTTGTGTGCCCAATTTAAAGCGCCGAGATGGGCCTATGTTTTAGAAAATGCTGAGTGCCCACCCCTCCACCCCCCCCTTGGCTTCAGTTGGAATCGTGGGGGTTCAGCAGTTCTCGGTATGAGGATCAGGTGACTCAAGTTGGCACCTAAAATCTGTGGGCACTTTTGAAACATTTTTGCCTCTGGACTCCACCCTGCTCCCATGGAAGCCCATGAGAATTTTGCCAGTGACTTCAGGGGTGAACAAGATTGGGCCTCATGTCTCCATTTTAATTGCTGATGTAAACCAAAGCAAGTTGAACTGGCTCAGTACGATTTATTTTTTCTGTCCAGGTTGCATTAGAGATGCTGTTCACAGGAGAGCCTATTTCTGCCCACGATGCATTGCTGCATGGACTTATCAGCAGGGTGGTACCAGAAGACAAGCTAGAAGAGGAGACCATGAACATTGCACGCAAGATATGTGAAACTAGCCGGTCTGTTGTGGCACTGGGGAAAGCCACCTTTTACAAACAGATGGCACTGGATCTTGATGCTGCCTACAGAATGACCTCCCGGGTCATGGTGGACAATCTGACCCTGAAGGATGGACAGGAAGGAATAGAGGCCTTTATTCAGAAGCGCAAGCCTACCTGGTCACATAGTGTGAACACAGCTTGCAAATGAGTACGCTCAGGCTTAGCTAACTCACACCAGTGTCTTCTCTGTGAAAGTCCCAGGGACTGTATTTTTGGTGTTGCTGAAAACTATATTTCACTTCTGTATTGTGTAGCTCTTGTGAGGATGATGGCCGCTGGCACTGGTGATGAGGAAGGTATGTTCAGTTTGGACTATGGGCAAGTCCTCAGATGGTATAAATTGGCATAGCGCTGGTAAAAGTCACTGGAACTATGTTGGTTTACACCAGCTGAGGATCTGGTCTTCTGTCATTAAGAGGCAACAATATTGCCCAGCTATTGGACGGTATGTCCATGGTTCAGCAGGGAGAGTGCCTCTAAGCAAAGATACTTGGTTCCTAACAGTGACGTTCTATGCTACTTTGTTTGCTTCCTCAGGTTTTGCATAGTCAATTAATGCAGTTGCTAAATCTCATGGATTTCTTTCTTCCGAATGTTGGGATGGAGAATGCTATCCCCACTCTCCTTCTTTTTTCCATCTGTAAATATTTGGCAATGTTTGCCCCATTTATCACATACATCGATTTGCTAAATTTACTATATTTAGCTCTCCTATTCCCCTTATAGTTCATTTATATCAGGAGCATGATTTTCCACTCATAATGCATTTTCCAATAGCTATATGTGGTAATTTCTTTTAGGTCCTTCTTTTCTCTTCGTTCTTTTGTACTCAGCTCAATCCTGTAGACATGAGGCATTTTTTGGGTTCTCCCTCCCAGCCCCATGTTGTCCACTGAATTCCCAGCATTCTGCATATATTTGTTTAGGGTTTTCATCTTCTCTGTTTCCTATAACTTTTGCCCAAACGCTTAAGTTCAATAACTTCAATCTTAACGCTACGGGCACTTCACCAGCAGCTAACTGCATTATACACAATAGTGTTGTGATGAAGACACCACATACAATGCATAATGTATGAGCTTGGATTGCGTCTAGCTTCCTTACGATTGTTTGCGATGCTGAATTAATGCTTGGGATTGGTACTTAGTATTTGGTCTTATTAATGCTCTATAATGCATTACCATTGCTTTCTTTTGTGCTCATCGGGTGGGTCCAGAAATACTTTAAAATAAGTTGAGTTTATCTTTACATTTATCTACACTATTTTCAGTGTGATCCTTCCATGTTAGCTTCCTATCAAATGTGACACCCAGGAATTTATAGCTTTTAACTATACCTATTTGCTGTTCATACAGAGACAATTCATCTTTTTAATTTTCTTTTTAGTGAATATCATTCCTTTCATTTTGAGAATTGAAAATCCAAAGCCCCACATTTCCCCATTTGGCATTTTTCCTAAGCACTTCATTAATTTGTTTCTCACCTATTTCTTGGTTTCAGTTTTTAGCCCATACGGCGTGATCTTCTGAAAACCAGGATGGGCCTATTCCTGCACTCATCCTTTTGGGGAGATTGTTTATCATTACATTGAGTAAGATACAGCTGATAACACTCCCCTGCGGACCGCCATTTATGATTGTTTTCAGAGGAGCAGCCGTGTTAGTCTGTATCCGCAAAAAGAACAGGAGTACTTGTGGCACCTTAGAGACTAACAAATTTATTAGAGCATAAGCTTTCGTGGACTACAGCCCACTGTAGTCCACGAAAGCTTATGCTC